TTATGGGGGAGACAGTGTGTTTCTAATTGGCTCATTTACTAGGTGAGAGCCAAAAAATTTCAAATTCAGTTTTTCATGGGCTTGTTTTTTAGTTTTTATTATATTTGAAGGATTTTTCATGAATTTAGGTTGGAAATGGCAATTGATTGTATCCTATGTGTGCAGGTGGTTAGACCTTATACCAATGTCTCCAATGGAGCGTTTCCCCACTGTATTTCAAGTAGTTTGCAGGTTGACTCCTGGATATCATCAGGTTAATCAGCTTTTACGATCATTATCTGTAGTAGATGGAAAAAAGTCAAATAGGAGCTGAAATTCTAATTTACAATGTAACATAGTGTTCTTGATTTTGTTAATGTTTTTGTAGATTTTCAGATAAAATTCATGGTCGATTTTCCGATATTGTTTTTTCTTATGCTTCTAAATATTATTGAATCTGTTAATCATAGAGATAGAAAGACAATATTTCTTCCCATTGCGGCTTTTGGAGGAGGGTAGGGAGATAGTACACGAATATGTTATTAATTTGCCAAGTCGCCAATAATTTAAGTGCATTCAGCATGGAAAGCACTCAGCATGCTCTCAACGGTTATATGATATTCTTCTGTCCACCCTGTTCTATATTAGAAGAGCTGGACCTTTATAAGCAATATATTTAATCCTATTCTCCTGTGAAGAGCCTTTTATTCTGAATTTTTATTTTCCTCTCGGATTGAGTAATTGTGGAAATGACTGATAAATCATCGAAGTAACTGCTGCGAGTAATTTAATGTTATATTAATAAGATCCTAGTCGAGTTCCTAAATCCTGCATCCTGGAGATCATCTTGGTGATGGTAAACTAAGCTTGTGAAACTATAACTACAAAATAACTCATTTGCTGCTTCATGATTCATATTGAGATTTTGTCAGTATACTGATATGACCACTTCATAATAATTTTATTTTTTCTTTTAAAGTATTTTGTGTACTAACCCTGGAGTAAGAAAATACATGAAGCAAAGCTCCTCCTAACTTTGGGCATTTGTTTTTGGTATCATGTAGATGTGCCGTAGTCCTCACTCGGGAATGCAAATCTTTTCTTATGCTGAAACTGATTTCAGGTTTTACTTCTGTTTACTGGCAGTTTAAGTTTTTTGTTGATGGTGAATGGCGACATGATAAGCAACAACCCTTCGTAAACGGTAATTATGGTGTGGTTAACACTGTCTATATAGCTGGAGATCTGGATGCAGTTTCTCCAAGTCTTAGTCCTGAGGCCTCAAGTAGATTCGACATGGACCTTGATGACGTTTCTTTTCGTTCGGTGTGCTTCTTAAACACTTAAATATTTTTTTGGTGGTTGACATTTGTCTTCTAATAAGTTGTTTTGTTGGTCTTTTTTTCAAGTATTGAGGCGTTTTTTCTAAACGAATCAGGCTGGAAGTTATTGTTTTATGTTAAATTTTAGATGCATATGCATTTATGTCTTTTTATGGGGACAACTTGTAGGAACCAGTTCCTACTATGTCAGATGCAGATTTGGAGGTCTCTCGGCATCGCATAGCCACTTTCTTGTCAAGACATATTGCATATGAGTTGCTTCCGGACTCGGGCAAGGTTTGAATGCATTACCTTTCTCTTGGATATGTTTATGTGGTAACTTATTGTGGGTGGTGGCTTCTGGTTGGTTCTATCTGAATGTGTCTGTTGTTGCAGGTTATTGCCTTGGATGTTAATATAGCAGTGAAGCAAGCATTCCATATTCTGCATGAACAGGTGAATCTCTTTTATCAAAAAACATGCAGAGGTGATCAGACATGCACAATCACTACACATAAAGGTTTCGCTAGTGTTTCCTGGTTTTCATCCAGAGAGAAGATTAACCTTGTGGTGCATGTGGTGGTTCTTTGTTTTTCCAGTTCCCTTTTCTCTCTCCCTTTCTTTTGACTTTCCACTTCTTCTTTGATGTAATATTTCCTTCACTAGTTTCTTTGGTGTATATAATTTGCCTTTAGTTTAGATATTTTCCTCATTACTACTGTATGCAATTTCTTGAGTTTTTACTTTTCACTCTGCTGATTATTAGCTCAGATATTATATTATTTTTGTTTATTTATGCTACGTTTAGGGAATTCCTGTGGCTCCTCTCTGGGATTCATTCAAGGGCCAGTTCGTTGGAGTTCTTAGTGCATTGGACTTTATTCTTATTCTAAGAGAGGTGAGTTCGGGAAAAAATGTTGAGTTTTTCCTTCAAATGTGAAAGGTAAGCTGTGATAATATTCAGAAAAAACTTAAATTACAATAGGAGAATTTGGCAACTTAATCCAGGCCAGTTTAGAGATATAGAGGTGGATGAATTAGGGAATTACTTTCCTGAAATAGATGAGTCACTGTTTCATTTAATATACAAGAAGGAGACCTAGTTTTTCTAATTATGCTGGACTTAGCGGATGGCCATGATTGTCAAGAGAAAAAAAGAGTTAGACGTAGGAGTTTAAAACTAGAGAGCCACCTAACAGCAATTGACAAGTTGTTACCCATATGACCTTATACGGTATATAATGATTTGAGAATCAATTGAAGTTTTTAATTTTAAAAATATTGGTGAACTTTAAATGTTTAGAGTTATTTAACCATGAATACATGTTTTTCTAACAGTACAATTTGTTTTCTTTTTCCTCCATGTTTAACCATATATTTCAATTCACTGTAAATCAGGAGTTATGGAAACATATAGTTTTAGGAGTACTCATGTGGTGTTTTAAGTTTTTTGACACCTGCTAGTTGAAATGTGGAAATACATGGTATTTTTTCCTCATTTGCGATGATGCAGCTTGAGCGTTTAACATGTATAAACCCTTTGAAGGACAGTTGGGGAATCATGGTTCGAATTTGACGGAGGAAGAATTAGAGATGCACACAATATCATTTTGGAAAGAGGGAAAGGTGCATCTTAGCAGCCAGATTGATGGAAATGCAAAATCATATCCTAGACGCTTTGTTCATGTAAGTGCTTCATTTACAGGATTATCTAGCATTCCTAAATGAAACTTCTGCTTTTGGTAAGAAAGATGAGGTGTTCACTGTTGAAATTATTAGGATGTGCTGTTTTTGACCTCACAATCTTTACCTATTGCCTTTACTACATTATTCTGGAATCTATTCACGGAAAAGAGATTGTGATTTCTTTCTTAGTTTACAGTTCCAGATTTTGGAATGATGGTTATTTGGATTCTCATGATACTGAGGTTGTTCAGTCTTGATGTTTCTCACATAATTTACTATAGAATGAATTACCTATTTTTAAGCTTTTGGATCCTTTTTTCATAGCACATGTTTCTAATGAATCCTCGTTGTACTTCTGTTTATCATATATCGACTCACACTTGTTTGTTTAAGGTAATATTTGTTGTAGGTTGAATACTTCTTTTGCTAATATTTGATAAAAAAACTGGACTCCAGTGAAGTTAGAGCTAACTTTTAGAAGGTAACAGGTTACTTTTGTATCGATATGTAACATTTAGTATCATTTTATGCAGGCTGGACCCTATGATACTTTGAAGGATGTTGCTCTGAGGATTTTGAAAAGTAAGGTAGCTGTGGTTCCCATCATTCATTCATCACAGGATGGTTCATTTCCGCAACTGCTAAATCTTGCCACTTTGTCTCAAGTTCTAAAATGTAAGCTTTTCCCCCTGTTATTAGCTTAAGGTACTTGGTTCTTCACTTGTTTGTTTAGGAGACACAAGTTATTTCTAACCAGAGCCTAATTTTCAGGTATATGCCGATATTTCAAACATTCTTCTAGTTCCTTGCCCATTCTTCAACAGCCAATTTGTTCAATTCCCTTGGGTACTTGGGTTCCAAAAATCGGGGAATCAAATGTTCGGTCACTGGCAATGCTGCAACCAAATGCCTCTCTTGGTTCTGCCTTATCATTGTTAGTTCAAGGTAACTTATGGCCTTTGAGCTTAAGGTTTTTAAGCTGCTGCTGAAGTTTGTACAATATGGCAGAAATTATAACACAGTGGGCAGATAGAAAAGAATAAATTTTTAAGCATGTATTCGTATAATATTGAATTAAAAATGTTACTTTTTGCTTCTACATATTTTCATTGCATGTCGAGCTTGTTGCTTAACTTTTTGGTGAACGCTTATATGTTATATTTGACTACTGGTTCGAATTAAGGTCATTGTAGATATCAAGAATAGGTATTGTCGAACAGTTATTGCATCATTACTAAATCTTTCGGCTTTATAAGCATTCTTTCCTCCTTTTTCCTTTATGTTCTCTTTTGAGGGAAAACCTTAATGCCATTAGAGTTACCAATCACAGTTTGTACTTATTAGTCTGTCGCTTTTGTCCCGTTCTTTCTCTTGCTTTTCGTTTCCTCATTTTTTGTTAATCATCTGACAAGATCACACCTTTTGCAGCCAATGTAAGTTCGATACCGATAGTGGATGAGAATGACTCATTGCTTGACATATATTCACGAAGGTAGCCTCTATTTTTTTTCCCAATTGGGGATAAAAATTATAAAAGAAGGAACTGCTGGATGCCAAATTATTTGTTTATGTTCCTTACGAAAGTTGTCCTCTGGTTGTTTGCTTGACAGTGATATAACTACTTTAGCGAAGGATAAAGCCTATGCACAGATTCGCCTTGATGAAATGAGTATTCACCAGGTAATTGAAGAACGTTGTTAATGCATACGGTACTGCCTGTTTGCTTAAAATGCAAGAAAAGAGCTTTCTTACCAGCGAAACTGATCTTGCAGGCCTTACAAATGTGTCAAGATGCAAATTCTTTCAACGGACAAAGATGTCAGATGTGTCTACGAGCCGATACTTTGCACAGAGTGATGGAGCAGTTGGCAAATTCAGGTATCCTTTTCATCCATTCTCTTTTATTCGCATATGATTATCTCGAAAAATAAATCTTCCCTTTCGCCTGTTTCTCCAATGCGTCCTACTGTTGTTTGTATTCTCACAGGGGCTAGGAGACTTGTGATTGTGGAGGCAGGCAGCAAGCGAGTAGAAGGAATCATTTCATTGAGTGATGTGTTTAAGTTCTTGCTTGGTCTTTAGCTCGAAAGATGGAGCTGTAGTTCTCTTAAAGAGGGCTTTACTATGGTGGGATCGAGTAAGATCCATTAATTTCAGTGAACCCCATATTTCCCCCTCCGCTCATCCATCTCCTCTTTCCCGCACTTTCATGCTGAGTGGTCTTATTTGTTACTCACGAGTCGATTCATTGGTGGGGCTTTGATTCGTCACTCTAAACGCCCCAACCGATTTTAGGATAGGAATTTCAAAGAGCAAAACATGATCTGTTGTAAATTGAGTACTTCGATTTTCGCCCTTCGTTTCAATAACCTAATGATTGTCAACTCAACCATTGCTGCTGGAGCAGCTCCCATGCCATGAATCTATTCTAACAGGAAAGAAAAGTGGGACAGGAGAAAAAGAAGAGGGGCTGAAGTGTATGTTGTGATGTATTTATAGCTTTCGATATCTGTATTACTAGTTGTATACATTATACAATCTTTTACTGGAAAAAAATTACAGTTTTCAGTCGGCATTTACCCAAGCCCAGGCAAGCATCATTCTGGGATCTTGAAGGAGATTGTCCAAGTAGGACTATTGTTTGATTTTGTGCGGTGTTCGGGTTCTCGTTTGTTTGTGTAGTATTTGTTCATAATTTTTGTTAGTTTATTAATAACGTATACACACTAAAGCCGAAATTGTTTAAACATAAAATTTAAGGGTATCTTCTTTTGGCAAAAAAGTATTAGAGGTTATTGTACTTTAAAAAAAATCAATGTGGTTTTTATATTATTTTTCTTTTAATGTGATCATTTAACCTAGAAAATAAGTTTAATGTGATCTTTTTTACTAACGTTTTTCATCGTTGATCGTTATGATATTGATGTGATAGTTTACAGTATTGATGTGATGGTTCATTATATTGACATGATAATTCACAATGGTTGATAACTTGATGAAAAACATGATATAAGAATTAAATTAATAACTTAAACACGGTAGATGAATTATCACGTCAGTACTGTGAATTGTCACGTTAGCATTGTAAATTGTCACATTAACATTGTAAACTGTCACATTAGCACTGTAACGATCAAACGACAAAAAATGTTAGATAAATGATCACATTGAATTTATTTTTCTAAATTGGAAGGTCACATTGAGAGAAAAATAATACGAGATCATATTATTTTTTTCTCTCCAAATGTAGATGGATTTATGATGCTTTTTTGTCTTTTAAGGATTTTTGATATTTTTTTATCTTTCTTTTTAGTGTAGAGATCATTTTATGAGAAATGATCACATGCGACAGTCTTAATATATGGTTAAAAAAGTTACCTGTTTTGTTATTATTTAAATAATAAAATCGGTAAAAAATTACTATAAATATTATTATTTTTGTTATTTTTTCTATTAGTTTTGTTATTGTTGGACACTTTACCGGAAATGTTAAAAAATATTAATGTTTTAGGTTTTGTTATTTAAATAATAACAAAAACAATAATGCCTTTTTTAGTTATATATTAAGGGTGCCGCACTATATAACTTCCATCATTCTATTAATTCATTATAATAATAATTAATAATAATTAGGTAAAGAATATGAATATATGAATTATTGGACATAGTAATTTAAATATAATATAAAAATACAAATAATCGGATTTGGAGAATTCTTTTTTTTTTAAAGTTAATAAATCTCTAACTAAGGAAAAAATCTCCATAGGTCGAAACGCAGCGTTTGGCTCTCCATGCTCAAAATAGAGATAAAACTACCGACCAGGCGACCACTAACTGAAAATCAAAATCTAGATAGAGAAATGAAACTACTTAGTGTCTACCGTCCCGCCCCTCCAATTTTTCCAGTTCCGGCGACCGGTTCAGATATCGACTGCCCGAGTTTCTCTAATTTACTGTAGTATCCCCACGTCGTCGTTTCTCTCGTTTGATAGTTAATTCCAGTGGTAGAACCGGAGAAGATCCTCTTCCTCCGGTTCTCTCCAGTTCCTCCGCTTTCGCCGTCCTCGGCGTTGACCCTAACTGCTCTTCCGCCGAGCTCAAAGCTGCTTTCCGCGCCAAAGTAATAAATAAATAAACAAAATATTGGAGTTTTAGTTGTTTAATTATATTCAAATTTTAGCTGCAAGTTATAAATTAATCTGTTCATTTGCCAAGAGAATTGTGGGAAAAAATAGTAATTTTGATTAAATTAGAAAAGCTTATTTATTTATTTCTTTTAACTAATTTTCATTTTTTGTTCAAAGGTTAAGCAGTATCACCCCGATGTGAATAAAGGAGGAGGGGATTCTGATACTATGATCCGCCGTGTAATCCAGTCCTATGAGGTTTTAATCTTTTCTCAATTTTCCATATACTAAAAAAGGATTTTCATGATTTAGGGTTTCCAGTTCGTTCTCTTTGACAAGCTTTTGCTATTGGAATTTAGTGATAAATCTTGGATTAATATTTCCTT